TTACGATGGCCCACACAGCGGGTAGGTTAGAGACCTCTGTTTATAGATCGCCTTGGAAGGAAAGGAGAAGGGGCATTATAAACATAACCTTCTTGTCCCTGTTTACAAAACCAAAATGCAGAAGTAGCAAGCTGTATATCCCAGGGACCAGTGGTGAAGTACTGCACCATGCTTATCATAACAGACGGAGGGGCTCTGAAAGTAGCAGCAGCCACATGATTAATGTATTCTGCTAATCAACAGTCTGCAGGTTCCTTCATGGGAAACTTGCTACCTAGTAGTGCTTTTATCCAAAGTATTATTTTTATCCAAGTGCTTTCACGAGTTGAAGCAATTACAAATTCCAAAGGTTGTGTCTATCACCATTTCAACTACATTTACAAGCACCTATTAGGGTACTGAGGGAAAAAGTCTAATGAATTTAGTTTCTCTTCCAGAGGCAGGTCTTTTCAGAGAAATACAAGAAAAACTCACTTTTTTTTTACTTTTACAGTTTACAAATACCCCCATTTTTCTTTTTGCAGCCTACTAATGTTCGTGCTGCACATAATTATGGTGACTTGGATCCATTTAAATTTCGTTGGCTCATTCCTTTATCTGCTCTTCAAGTTCGACTGGGGAACACAGCAGGTAATTCCCTTGTACTGAATACTTCAGGACTGAACACCTTTCTGGATTCTGTAATACTGCTTCTTCCACATGTCTTTCTGGAGCCTCTGGAAACAGGCAGATGCAGAGAAAATAGTAGCAATTGTTGTGTCTACGCTCAGGGGGTGCAGGCTTCCTTCATTTGGTGTGTTGGCTGCTTCTGTGAGTTCAGGAAAATGCAACGTGAGGCAAAGGCATCACAGAAAGGAAATCCCCAATGAAAAGGTACCATGAACAGGAAGGTGTTAGACCACGGTTGATGTCCTGGTGACAGCATTATGCCTTGTGTTTTTCCAGCTGTGGGAGAGTTAACTGTGTATTTTATGGTAGTAGAAGCCTGCATCTTCATTTTCCCTTTTGAGTTGAGTTTTATGATCCTGTCCAGTTCTGTAGCTTCTGTGAGGTGTCATTAGGTGTTTAGAGCAAATAAAAGAAGCAATAAAAATGGGGGAAAGATCTTCTGTCGATCAAAGGCAGCACCAGGCTGCTGCAACAGGAAACTTGAGGAGACTTCAGTTTGGGTTCTGTCTTGGGTGAGGTCTTCTGTGGATCCACCCAGGGCTGTGTTAACCCTGCCTTCAGGAGTGGAGGAGCTCTACACTGGTCTTTCTAATGTCAAAGGTTTTGTGAAGTATATACAAAAATAACGTTTCCGTCCATGCACAGGAACAGAGAACAGCTGTATCTGGGAACTGATTCACACAAAGTCAGAACTAGAAGGCAGGCCAGAAACCATTTTTCAGCTGTGCAGCAGGTAAGTGATCCACATCAGAAATCTGCAGAAATGTATGGTGGTAAATTCTGGTAAGATACAGGCAAAGTAACTTACGTTACCAGATTCTCAATTAGCAGAAATTACTTTCTGATAAAGACCACTTATGGAGTGACCCCTAACTACAGAAGTTACGTTTCAGGCCATTTTCCTAAGGGGAAGTAACAGATCTCAAAACACAAACTGTGAATTGCCTACCACCACAAAGATGTTAGCTGCAAAACCACTACTAAAGAAAGCTACTGAAAAAACCCCACTGCACTGAAACGTATCAGCAGAAAGACGGCGGGCAGATTTCATCCCAGTAGTGTCTTACTTCAGAGGGGAAAATGAGGTTATGTTTTCTTGAACTTGCAGTGACTGTGAGAACAAGACTAACATCGTGAAAGTGATTCGTTCCATTTTGCGGGAGAATTTCAGGCGTCATATAAAATGTGAGCTACCGCTGGAGAAAACTTGTAAGGATCGCCTTGTCCCACTCAAGAATCGTGTACCTGCAACAGCCAAACTGGGTAAGAAACAGGTTCTCAAAGTGAAAAATGGAGTCTGGACTCTCTAGCACTTGCAGAAGGTTTGCAGTTATTAGAATGGCTGTAGTATCATAGAATCATAGAATGGCCTAGGCTGGAAGAGACCTCAGAGACCATCTAGTCCAACCTCCCTGTCATGGGCAGGGATGCCTCTCAACTAGATCAGGCTACTCAAGGCTCCATCCAACCTGGCCTTGAACACCTCCAGGGTGGGGGCAGCCACAACTTCTCTAGACAATTTATTCCAAAGTCTTGCCGCCCTCGTACTGAAGAATTTCTTTTTAAGATCCAATTTAAATCTATTCTCCTTCAACTTAAACCCATTTCCCCTTGTCCTATCAGTAGACACTTGTAAAAAGTCCTTCCCCAGCCTTCCTGTAGGTTCCCTTCAGGTATTGGAAGGCAGCTGTTAGGTCCCGCCAGAGTCTTCTCCAGTATGTTGTATGCCAGATCCACAAGCCCCATTTTTGGCCTGGGGAGATAGTAGAGTTTCTCCACAGCTCAGTGGAGAGGGCTAGGGGAGACAAGCAAGCTTGCCATCTTCTCCCACACTGTGGTGTGTCATTAGCTCTCTTAAAGGAGGGCTTACTAAGGACCAAATTATTTTTGCTGGGAAGGAATTGCCTCCCTTTGGCATCCAGTATTAGTGTTCTTTCCTCTAGGTTCCCTTTAGTAACTCAGCTCTAATAACATTTAAAGCTAGAACAACTGGGAAAAGGCAGGGGTCTTACTTCTTTCAGTGTACTAAATCTACATCCCAGCAGATAGCCTAGTTAAGTGGAGGCTACAGACATTTTAGTCAAATGAGTAGCTACTAGTATTTCAAGTTCTCTGTCTGATCAGTTGTCTGTAAAATCCTCTCAACATCACAGGAACTAGGACAGTTCAGATCTCACCTACAACCTGGCCCTCCAGTGCTTGCATCGGCCTTGCTTTCCTTTGGATGTGTGTAAACCATTACTACAGTATTTGGAGGATTTCGTATACATTACACATGAAGGCATGAGATAGCCCTGGGGCAGGTGGAATGAAAACTCTCGACATGGGATCACACTGTCAGTGTCAGAATAGTGACACATCTGACCTGGGATAATTATCAAATGAGACTACATACACTGTAATTCTAAGTGGGCTACTGAGACGGGTGGTATAACCAGCTGATGTTTTGGCGAAAAAGATAAAACTGCCTTTTTCCTCTGCACAGCTTCCACGAGGTCCCTGAAGGTACTGAAGAATTCACCCAGTAGCGAGTGGAACGGTGACCCAGGGAAAAGCACCTTCCAGGACTCAGACGAGTGCAGCCTGAGCAGCAGCACTCAGAGCAGCAGCTGCCACACCACCGAGAGCGTCCAGGAGCCCAAAAATTCCTCTCCCGATAAACACGTGCAGAGCTGCGCATCCGACTTCTCTAATGTTCTTGTCAAAGAATCTGATATTCTCAGTGATGATGATGACGATGACGACTATCGGAGCCTAAAGAAGGGCAGCCCTACGAAAGATATTGAAATACAGTTCCAACGGCTGAAGATTTCAGAGGAGCCGAGCACTGACTCTGAACGGGATCAGGCTGCAGAAAATGAAGAAGGAGGTGGCTTCAAGACAGGAGAGCACCCAAAGCTGGTGCGTGGCCATTTCTGCCCAGTGAAGAGAAAAGTAAACAGCACAAAACGTAACAGGGGAACTTTAACGGCGATGCAAGAACGTCACCAGTCCCTCGACAGTCACTCTGATGCTACAAACCTGGATCTGAACTCTATTTTAGAGAGAGAATTTAGTGTCCAGAGTTTAACATCTGTAGTTAATGAGGATTGTTTTTATGAAGCTGTGGAGAGGCACGGGAAATCCTAGCTTCCTAAGCACTATATTTAAAATATCCATTTGAAATCCACATAAAATTCAAGAAACTTATTTTGCTTTAAAACGAGTAAATTCATGGAAGCTGCAGGAAAACTACTATCCGATTTTGTGCACTAAGACATTTTTTCCACAAAAACAGCTGTAAAGGATTCTTAACTTATTTTAATTTATTGTGGATCAAAAAAAGATTAAGTTGGCCAAGGTCTGTAAATTAGTTCATCCCTTTCAAGCAGTTATTAAGATGACATAGTGTTCCTGGGGAGGGGAAGGAAAGGCTGGCCTCATTAGTACTTTAAGGGATGTGGAAAAGAGGCTAGTGAGTGGCAGAGGGGATTACAATGGAAAGTAGCATTGCAAAATTAATTTTTCAATACCTTGGGCATTGTATTTCTTTGGTTTTCATTTTTTGCTTTATTTAAAGCAGAATTAAGTTATTTTAATGTGTTTTAGTGCACAATAGTGCAGAAATTTCATTTTTTGTAAGTTTCAAGATGCTGTTTATACTTTATACATATGTGTAAATAGAAAAACAAAGCTTGGCCTGTAATCTTTTATTTGACTGTATTTTTTATTTTCTCTACCAGCCTGTACAGTAAAGACAAATAAGTATTGTACTTAGCTGCGTCTTCTACTTTTTACCATGTTGCTTTCTCCAGTTGGAGCTTTAAATCCCAAATTCTTTGCTTTCACATAAATGAGAAGAGTATTAGCAGACCTTGAGGCAATCTGTGCACTTTATCCTCCTTTAAGCCAGTCACTTGAGTATATTTATACAAGAGTTTTGGCTTTTGTTTTTTTAAATTATATGGCACAGCAGCACATTGCAGAGTAAAAAGAGTACAAAACCCCAAACCACATCTTACATGGTGACGTATGAAAAGTATTTTTATTTATGTTTCAGTAATGCACAATTATTTCAGCAGTATCCCGACTTAACTACGTCTCACAGCATACCTCAGTCTTGGTAGGTGTTCTAGCCCTACCCTTGAAGTAAAAAGAACCTGTAGGCACCTCGTAACTGAACTGTCTTTTCACTTTTGTCTGCCACTGAATGAAATGAATAAATAAAATAGGAAAGCCCTCTTTCCCCACTACTTTCTTCAAAAGTAGTTCTTCCATACCTGCACAGATGTAGGAATATATAAGCCTCCTTTTACTGAATCAAGCAGGTAAAACGAATAAAAAAAGATCAATCAGTTTGCTGCAATTATAGCTGATCTTCCTCTTCAGTCTGTTCAGGCTGACTCACAGTTTTAAGTGAATGCTTTATCTTCTTTTGCTTTAGTTCTTCTCTGTAATCGTACACAAAAAGGCCTGGGTCTTCATCGCACATTTTTCTGTACATATCACAAAGATTTCTAAACTGTGACATGGAGAGCTGAAACGGACGCAGAGTTGGATCAACATTCGCTGTCATCATCAGCTGTTCGGTTCTTTTCAAACGTCCACTTTCAGGAAACAAGGTCCTAAAAGGTGTGGGGGGAGGACAAATTCAAACAATTCAGTTTCCCTTAAGAGGAACAGAATCCTTAGTATAGGATTACTACAAAGTATGTAATTATTTTAGCTCTGGCCTTCTTTAATATATGTAGCTCATTAGCTAAGCTAATGGAAACACCTAAGAGCCCTTTTTCTAAAAATGCAAATTACAACAACAGAGAAGAGTATATACATTAAAATGTTTGTGCTTGCTAACATTAAAAAGAGGTCTGGGTGTGGATACAGTTGCAGAGGCTTCTTAGAATTAGCCTCATTATTTAGAGAGCAACAACAGATTAAACCATGCAAAACAGATCAGAAGCAGACCATAAGACTTTGAGGCTGTTTCATTCCAATGGGAAAGGTATTACCACTTGTCATTAATACCATAATTCCAATGTGAGGAAAAAAGCCAAGGAGGAAAGTAGTATTTAATTATCATTCACTTTTTAATATTTAGAACTTGGAGAATGTGCCAGGTTTCCTAGAGATACCCAAATTTAATGAATAGTATTAGTTCAAGTGATTTTTTTTTTTTATGTCTCACAAAAAAAATGTGTACTACACAGTGCAAACTATTGATAGGACTAGCTCTTATTAGCAGTAGTTCTCAGTCTCCAGCGGGTTAGGAAGGCAGAAAATTTGCACGTGGCTGATGATTACCTCTGTCATATCTACGTAACACCTGAAAATGCTGTTCATCTGACACAGTAATACCCCCAGTCATGGTTTGCTGGACAAACTCATCAAAAGGCTTTGTGTAATTAAGTGGGAGTTGGCTCTCGGTGGCCAGTCAGAATACCAAGTTAAGAAAGGGTTTAAAATGACAAAAGAAGGATGGAACTACTCAGAACAACCTGGTCTAAAGTACATACTACTCCAGGCCTTTGTCAAAAACTGTCCCCCATTAGGTCAGTAAAGTTAAAACAGATCATTCCTTATTTTGATATCCCTCCTTAAGTTATTCTCACCTTTGATTTGGTAGTTTAAAAAAAAAAATGATATGCTGAGCCAAAAATAATCATCTTTTATATAATCATCTTTTATATACAGACTATGAACCATCTTATAAATGACCATGAACAGCAATTCAGACTGCAATATTGTTCTTCATGGATGTAACAGATTAATCTTATAGGATTGCTGCTCTCTGATCTCCGAATTCATGCAACTGATTCTATTACCTTTTTTTCAGATCGACAGATACCTTATAATGACCTTAATAGCCTTATTATACATGGAAATTTGCTTTTTTTTTTTTTTTTTAAGGTCAGCTAAAGAATAAGAGGATTGTTTTTCCTAGCTGCATACTAGAGCTAAGTTATGATAAGCTGCTAGGGAGTACGTGGTGTCCAAAAGTTCATATTTCCCCCTTTGCTTCACAAGAATGTAGAGCAGTTAGTAGAGATTTGAGATCACATACAGTTGAATTTTAATTTTAACTTTGGCAAACATATGCTACATAATGTAAATATGCTGATAGCACACGTGTTCTGCTTGCATTGGTGGCTGAAACTATTCTTTCAAAAAAAATCCCTACAAAACACTAACCAACCACCCAAACAAAACCACCATCCTGTAAAACACATACAAATCCAGCGAGAGTTTGGATACTTCATTTTTCCAACCACCAAATGCTTACTCAAACCTTAACACAGACAAATCAGTAGTTATTTTAGATCCCAAGTCTGCATCCCTGACATCAATGGCATTCACTGCCTCAAGTAAAAAACCCAAAACTCCCACAAAACTTGAGGCAAAAATTCTAGGTTGACCTTTGAACTATATAAAATATAAGGGATGTAGTTCAGTAAGGTGACACCCACCCAATTCTGCCTGCATGAGGGCCAAAATCAGGGCCAGGGAAACTAAGCTAGCCCAAGGTGCAGCAGCATGCCTCTAGTCTCAGCAGCAGCTCTGTCACACATTCTGTGATGCTAAACGCTGGGACTTTCCCACACCAAGTCAGACATGTGGTTATGCTGGAGTTTTATCAGGATCCCTGGCAAACAAACTGCAGGTTTCTTGCATCAGTAAGAACTCCATAAAAGGATAAGCACAGAAACAGGAATTTGACCTTTTGATACTATCCCCAAATAAGTAAAATTTCCCACACATGGCATTCTACCTCCTCACACTGCCACCTTTGGTTCAGAATTTTGATACTTGTGTTTTTTAGCTCAACCAGCAAATGCTGTACTTTTCGTGGTTGTTTTTTTTTTTATTTCCAAGACAATCAAAACTACTGGAAGCATCACCAATTTATCCTAGTAATTTTAACAACTTCAGTTGTGCTAACAAAAATGCACAGTAATTATTATACAATTACAGCAGAAAGAGATTAATCTTCTGTATCCAGAAACCATTCTGAAATGAAAAGCTCTCATGACCTACGATGACAAATTTAAAATAAGAGGGAAAAAAAAATGCATAGCTACAAGTGTTTCTTAACTTATTTAGCAGCTGACGCATTTACAAAAACTGAAATTTTTCTGTTAAAGATCCTTACTCGATTCCACGGAAGCAGTATTTTCTTCTAAACTGAAAAACACTTCGAACCACTTTTTCTACTAGCTCGAACGGCTGCTGTATCTTTGGTTGCACCAATGGAGTGAAGTGCACCACAGCCACATCCACCTGTACCGAAAAGAAAGATAAATTTGAGTATATTCCTCTGAGACACACATTATTTCTAAGTTAACCAGGTAGACATCAGGAAACAGGCAAAACATAGGAAGAGATTACTGTGACAGGTAACAGCTTTGCAGTGACTAATGTCAAAGATTTGGCTTAACTTTCAAGGTCCTACAGAATTTTAGTTATCTACATATTTCCAATTAGTTCACATGCCATTAATACTTAGTACTTTTTCCCCCATGGCACTTCCTCCATCTAGAACAACTTCCATGTAATCTGTAAAGTAATTAGCACTTCTTTCTTCAGATCCTTCCACAAGACAATTCTGACATGATACACAAATTAGACAATATTCGATATACAGGCTGAAGGGCAGCTGGAGAAAATTGGTATTATAATTAGAAATCAAACCCATTCCCTTTATGTTTTCGGTTGCTCTAGGGCTTTTCTAAAATAAAAGACAAGGAATTACTTTTCAACAAATTAAGATTTTAAAATTCTGTTTAAAGGAATGGTAGGTAGACTTAAGTTTGCCTTCAGATTAAGAGACCGTACAACTCTGTATTTACACAGTGTATCACAGTTTATCCAAATTTATATTTGAACAATTCTAGAGAGATTTTTTTTTCAAGCTTGTTTTATTCTTTTACAGTTCTAAAAGCAGTTTGGTTCACAGAACAGTCACTTCCTCTGAGTCTGAAAACAGAATGAAATAATATCCTCCCTTCAATGTACACATACTCACATACATATATCACAAAATTTGTCATGCAATTGTAGAGATCCTGTATTATACAGAAATGCCCCAAATTCAAACTTCTGTGTTAAAAACTACAGGCTGGGCTAAAAATCCAGTCTGCACAACATCACATAAAGCAGTTCATCTTCCAAAATACATATTAACAATAAAAATGAACAATCTCTCTGGAGGAGCATATTGAAAATTTGTACAAGTACTGGTATTGAATGGCTACAAAATTTCTAAGAGTCGGACTTTAAAAAATACTCAGTCTCTTCTTAAAAAACTCTGCTAATATGACACAAAATCATCCACCTTTTTGAAAGGTCAGAAAGTCACTATTGGCATTCATAGAACAGATTCTGTGTGACACTGAATTGAGGATGTGCCAGTTTTGACTGAAGCAAAAGATACACTCAGGTCAACGAAGAGCTTCTGCTCAAGGTACATTGTCAGTGTATGAGTTCTTTGAGAAAACCCAGAGCAAGAGAGCACTTCAAAAAAAAGAGCGTGCTTTTTCTACCACTTTAACCAAAACTGCTCTAAGTTTGTGGGTTTTGAAAAAAACAATTACGTTGTAGTAGCCTCTGACACGGACATATTCTTGTGGCACAAGGGTGCCACCCATCCTTGTCGTACTTTCAGCGGGAACAGCTCAGCTGTCAAGCACATTGATCCAGTACAACTGCTTCAACAGCAGAGGGAATGTAATATTTTCCACTGAAAACAAAAAATAAATTCAAACAACATAAGCTTTTTAAGCAGACAGAACTTACGAAGATGAATGAAAATACTAGCCAGAGAAAGGCAAGCAAATACCAGTTAATGGCACTGATGAAAAAACCACATAGCAAATTTCCAGTATTAGCACTGCTGATCTGAGTGCTACAGATAGGTTGTTTTCTCTCCTTCTCCACCTTTTCTTAAAGCTAGAGTTAAGAATAAGATAGAAAAAAAAAAATCCACTTAGATTACCAAAATATAAAGACACAAAAACTTATTTTAAAATGAGATGACAAAGAAAACCTGACATGCGGAATCTGCAGTGAAATGCACATAAATGTATTTTCCAAAGCAGTTTCTACATTTCTCAGGCATTAATAGCTTCTACTTTTGCCATGGCTTGCTGCTACCTGTCAGGAAGGCCATAGGAACACAGCAAAAACTTGTATTCACACTGAATGTCAGAAAAGTTTATCTTTTTGAACAGGGAAAATACATACTTCAGATAATCAACCAGCTCCTTGTATGTAAGTACTGAGGGCTTATTTACACGTGTATATATATTTATTTACATTTTTGTCAAGAAATTAAAGGCATTTCCACTGCAAAATTAGGGGTAAGAAAACCAACCACAACCATTTAAGATCTCTTAGTCACCTCAATTTTGCAGAACTGCTTGTTATTGAGATAGAAGGACTCTTTGGAAGTTGGAGCTGTAACTTTAACAAAAATTTCTGAAGGGAAAAAAATAACAAACCACAATCTAGATGCAGTGTACAGTGTAAGAGAAAAACAGCTCAATTTGCAATCTCAAGGCCAGTGGGCAATAATTTCTCCTTCTGAAACAAAACAGCACTTCTCAGCATTTGTTCCATTATAGACGCCGTTTTCTTTGGACCCCAGGAAAGCTGCCTGGTTACTATAGCAACAGATACAGGCGAAAGCTTTTCACTTGTAATTGGCTACTCCTTTACATGCTATTTTTCCCTAACCTTTTTAATATGCATAAAATTAAGATAGCACAATTATGAAACTCGATAGAGTACACAAGCACAGTTAAAATACACAAATTAATTTTGCTGATCATTATATCAGTAACACTTTTTTACCCCACCAACTCTGCTAGAAATATTTACAAAATAATACTGAATTCTCACAAAACAATGAACATTAAAATTATTCAACTGATATATCTCGAGCTGTCAACAGCACAGGAATTATTCACTCCTTGCTGTTTTAGTGTATCTGTAGGTTTATGTTCTGGTTGGGTAGGAGGAACACATGACAGTGAGCAATTTAATTCAGAGAAGTCTGCTGCCTTGCTGATGAAATCAAAGCTCCAGATCAAAATAAGCTTAAACGAGACAATTTTTACTAATTGCTGACAACAAAGGTCTCATGATGGGCAATACATGCCCCTTGCAACAAGGCTGTGTTAAAAGCAAACCCACATACCCGTTTTCAAGCTGTAATTTACTCACAGGGAGCTGAAAGCTAAGCAGAACATATTACAACTTCATTAAAAGACTGCTTGAGATCCTGCTAAGATAGTTCTAAGGCAGCACTTTCACCAACCAAGTGTGCAGTACCAGCACTTTATCTCTCTCTACTGCAGACAAATGTCAGGTCCAACAATCTTGTTCCAATGGGAGGGTTTCATTTTAGTTCACTTCTTGCAGAAAACAACTGTGCCACCGCACTAATAGCAATAATCTAATTCCTATGTAAGAACAGCTTTGTAATAACTTAACTGCATTCACACTAGGCTCACAAACAGGATCATAGGAAACCAAACTTCAGGTACAGAACCTATGGGTATAGCACTGCTGCAATCAGCAAGACTTTCCTCCTGACTTCTTGGTTTCACACACCAGTTTGTCCAGGCTGCCTCTCCAAAGTGCTGCAGTTCCTACGTAAGTCTTATTAGTAGCTTTATTCCTTCATTCTTTATTTATATAGACTCATACAAAGGTAACAAGTCATAGGACGACCTGCAGAAGGCTATGGCTATCAAGAAGAGATAGCAAAATGTGTAGCTGAATAGGAATGTCCCACTGTTCCAATTACAAATTAAAATAAATTGCATAGTTCTTTCCTAGGAAATTTAAACTCTTAATAAGATTATCTGTGATGAAAAAAACCCACAAACCCACAACAACCAATAACCAACAAAACTCTCTGGTTCTCAGTTCAACTTAAATAAATCCCTCTCCCTTCTCCCGCTCCCCCCACCCCCATCCATAAGTCTACAGTGTTTCTGGATTCTCAAGATTTTACTCCTTTTAATCACTGTTCACAGTTTTCATCATAGAACCTGGATATCATTATGTATTTAGGACTAAGGGCCTTCATGTGTTTTTCTCCATAATCTCTTTGCTTTCCCTTACTCAGTGTTTGTCAAACAAAACTCATTAAACAAAGTGCTCCTTTATTCTCGGGTAGATGGAACTAAGAGAGCGAACAAACAGCAGTAATGCACTTGCTGTAGAGCAGAGAAAAAAACAGCATTCCAAGAAATTTTGTTAATACGTGCCAATGCAGTTTTATATGAGAAGAGATACTTCTATTCAAGAGAAACTGCATTTTTCCTGGACATCTACAGTGAAGAAAACATCTCAGACCTCACATCCAGCAGTAAGTGCTACACAAATGGGAATGAAACATAACTGTATTTTTTTATATACTTGCAGTGCTTATAATTGAATTCATCATGCCTTTAATTTGGTTCAAGCCATTAAATGTAATGTATGAGTATCATTTGCAGTGGCTTGCATTTATGTTTGCATGTCTGTATATGCTGAAATTTTAAAAAAAGGAAGCAATGAAAAAGGCTAACACAAGATCCTAATTAGCTCTTCCAGAATATGCTTTTGAATGAGTTTTAAGCTATCCAGACATGTCAGTTCCTTCTGTAAAAGGAAGTTAAGCCATCTTTCCTACGGGCCTGATACAGCAGATGATATGTATTTGTCAAAGCAACTCTTTACAGTCTAAACAAACTGAAGGGATTTGGAAATAGGCAGTCTTTGAAAAAACATCTTAAAACCAAGAAGCTGTTAATATTCTTAACTGTAAGTACTTCTAATGTATATATATGTGTATATATATATGGTGGACAAAGTTAGCACATCCTTCAACAATTATGTGAACTAAGTACAATATGAAAACTAGAGGATTACTTGCTACATAACATCACTAAAGACTGATAGATACATATTGATCAAAATCTTGTTGCCTTATAATTAATTGAAATAAGAGTAAAACTTTACAGTGTACCACTTATTTCAACATTATCCCCTGCTATGATGGCTTTTCCTAATGCTAAAGACCAATTTCAATACTATTGTTCACACTTAGAATGCCCTAGAAGTATAATCCAGACCTAGGACCGTCCTTTCTCTATTACTCTGATAAAAGACAAAACTTGCCAATTAAACAGCCCCACTCAAAAGGCAAGGACACCATTTCTAATCCTCGTCACAAGAGGTTTCTGACCCAGTTCTTCATCTGTTATCCCAACAGTTCAGTTGACAGAAGAGCAGTAATTCTGTCCTCCCAGATGCACAGTTATCATACTGCCTAAAATGTTCTCATCTGCCAAATGTAATTGGACACTACGCAAGAATAGCAGGGAGGGTCTTAAATGAACTTTTAAAAATGCCACTTCATGGCAAATTTGCAAATGATTTCAGACAAGTGACTGATTAAAAAAAAAAAAAAAGCACTTACACAACTGAGTTGTTCCGTGTCAGTGCTAAAAATGGTATTTTATGTTATAGACAAAAGCAGATCATATTCATTCTTATGACTTGCTCAGCAGTGCTGCTCTAAGTCAAGGACTGAGAATCACTGCCTGGAAATAAAATATTGATCTATAAAAGTCATGTGTGACTTAATTGGGAAATACTGCAAAAATAATTTCAATCTTATTCTCCTTCAAAAACATGAAATTAAACAAAAGAACAGGCAATATTTAAATACCTTTAACCATATTTTAAACCAAAGATAACAGTATCAATGTTCACTGTTATAAAATAGTTGACAAGAGCTGACTAGAGCCACCAACACACTTAAAGAAGGTACTTGAAGAATACAATCTATTTTCTACCACAGTGTTTTTCCACAATGACTTTCAACCTGCACGTTTCTAACATTTCATTTACAATGCATATTTATCTAGCAATCTGTATACGATTATCAAAATCAACTACAGTAAAATAAGTTTTGCTCGACAACTTGCAATCATATATGAAAGGGCAGCAGCTCCTTCTTACAAGCAATTCTAAACCACTGCCCATTTGCCATCATTTATGTTCAAGTACCTTGTGTGCAGGTGCTCAGCTGCTCTCAGCTGCTGCCTGGTCATGTTCAGATATTCATTCAGACAGTTCTAATTTTAAATGCAAGCCTTTTTTTGTTTGCTGATTACTTTTTCTTTCCCCGTCATGCTTCTCCTCCCCCTGTCCTTCCTCCCTGTTACACAGAGGGCTACAGCCTTGGCTGCGAAGCTGCCAACAACCAGTTACACTCATTTACAGGAGAGAAACGAGACACGGGCAGACAAAAGGTGAGAGCAGACAATCAACATGGCATCAGCAAGTCTGCAGTTCTTTGCTTTTATTCTGGCTCTGTTTGGTGTTTTTGGAGATATCACAGCCACCCTGCTACCAAACTGGAAGGTAAACGCAGATGTTGGTTCAAGTATCATAACGGCTATCACGCAGATGCAAGGACTTTGGATGGACTGCACGTGGTACAGCACTGGGATGTTTAGCTGTACCCTGAAATACTCCATTCTCTCTCTGCCGGTCTACATCCAGGCTGCACGGACCACCATGGTACTGTCTTGCATTCTCTCAGCCTTCGGGATCTGCATCACTACAATCGGAATGAAATGCACGAAGTTGGGAGGGGACACTGACAGCAAAAGTCATGCTTGCTTTGCTGGAGGAGTCTGCTTCATTCTTGCAGGAATCTTTGAATTAGTACCAACATCTTGGTACACGAGAGAAATTATTGCAAATTTTCTGGACCAGACCATTCCAGAGAGCAGTAAACACGAACCAGGAGGCGCAGTTTACACAGGATTCATTTCAGCAGTGCTTCTGCTTATTGCAGGTGTGATCTTCTGCACCTCCTGTTTTAAAAAGCAGCAAGGAGCATGGATTTACCATCCAAAGCAGCACCACTTCCCAGCCACAGAGCAGGACAGCAATGCAGGTTACAATCTGAAAGACTATGTGTAAATATAGTTGTTTCTATCCATTAAGCCTTTTTTTTGTGCTTAGTGTAGTTTGATTATTTCAGAGAATGTACAATGTAGCACTTTTCTTACATCTGCATTTAAGCAAGGTAGTTCATTTACAGTGGCATCCACAAAAAGAGTAAGTAGGAAACAATGCTCAAGTTTGCTACAAGAGTACTTTTTAACTGATTTTTCAAAATATTCTTTTTATTTTCCAAGTAACATTTATTGAAGGAAAAGGACCTGTTTCAAAACACAACTGACAGTACAATTAATGTACCGATGGTTTGTTACAGCAAAGATGCTTAAAAACTAACTGCTTTCTATGTAGCAAATCAGGCTATCAATAACATGCAATGTTTTATAGTGTACTTTACCTTTTTCATCTTTAATTATGAAGCAGGAAAAAAAAAAACAACACAAAGCTGCTCTTTGTCCAAGAAGCCCAACTCAGTGTTTGTTAAATAGCAGACACATCTGTCTTTCATTTTCAGTTTTAAATTGCCTTGGTAAATAGATTTCTTAAAAATACCCCACACTAAACCACAACCCCCAACCCCCCCAAAAAACCCACAAACAAACAAAACACAAAACAGAAAACCCAACACACTCACAAAACAAACCAGAAAACCACAACAAAACTCCACAGCCCCAGACCTCAGCTTCTTTGTATCTCCTGCATATCAGGCTGAAGAATCAGCAAAACCATTCAGATCTGGCCAAAAAAAGCTCTCCCATCCCAAACTGCCACTTGCTGTAGGTTTCATTTATTATCGTTAAAGATATGTCTACTCCTTACCAATGGCTACTAATCTATCACTTCACAATGAATTGTTAGATTTGAGGAGCAGTAGGAGAACAGAAATGTAACCATGACTATGAGAACACCTGCAAGTTGTAACACATAAGATACAAACTAAATTGTCTACTTTAAAGAAAAATCTGGCAGCGTTCAGGCTTACACCTGCTCAAAGCAGCTTTTAACAGCTCAAATAACACAGCCACCACTAATGTTTCTGGCCTTCTAAAAGAACTTTCTAAGTCCTTTTAGTCCCGTAGGGTCTGATCCAGGCCCACTCCCATGTATTCTATTACTATAGAAAGCAATAGACAAAGGTGATAAAGAGGCAGCTTTTTCACTGAAATTTATTTTCTTAACTCCCTTGTTTTGATCCTTTAACCTTTTCTTTCAAGACTCAGATTTTCTTTTGCATTGGTCATGGGCAGACTATGTTCTACCTAAACAAGAAATTGATGTTAACTTGCTAGCATAGGCAAGGGAATAAAAATGAGTATGACCCAGGCCTTTTTAGCAACATCGTAATGCTGGATGAGTGTTTCAAGAAAACCAACTGCTATTTATTTTACCTGTTTATATACAACTTTCGTGTCCCATATTATTAGCCCAGAATTCACTGAAACAGTATGGAAGGACCTTAACATTACAATTTGTTGGGAAAAGTAATATCTCTTTTTATAGCATCTAAGGAAGTCAAGTCGTTTATGCATCTAATATGTAAAGAGTCTTTATTCTAATATACACAGAATGGAATTACAGCTTTCTTGCATTACTACTGTTACATAACCATTTTGAGTTTACTACATATTCATCAAGGAGCTTGTTTTGTACTACTCCTAATACTGGTATCAGCAGGTTCTTGGTACCACAGAGACTTAACTATGACCAAAAAGTCAAAATTTCTCTGCTGCACAGTGTTATTGTATTCCATAAACCAAGAGTCTTTCATGTCTCAGTGTTCGTATTAATGTTGAAATATCCATTCATTCATTGAGAAAATGAGGTAAACAACTGACTTCCAAAAATATGCATCTCCACCTTTAGTATGGGGCTTCACATGACACTGAGTTGTGGTCATTGCTATGTATGTGAATTAACACATCTGTAAAGAGTCAAAGGTGTTTTTACAGGAGGGCATAAAAAACATGTAATAATTGCACGCTACAAGCAAAGTGCAGTACTTGTCAGGTACATAAGCAGCAATTTTTTCTTCTGTAACTTTATACAGAGGTATCTGAACTTTTTTGTATACCTATGAAACAAAAATGAAGTGCTAAGCAATTCATTCACAATACACTGCAAGACCTTTCCAAGAAAACAAAGATTCTATCAGAAACAATAGTATCTAAAACACATGTCAGTCTACAGCTAAAAGAACAGGGACAAAACGAAAGATCAGTTTACAAGTGGAGTCTGAAGGAAACAAAAAATAACGAGAACAAGTGCCAGGCCTGTCTGAAAAATTTGTACTTTCTGCTTTCACAATATAAGCGTTACTTGTTTTGACTGAAAAACAATATAATAAACAAAAACATGCTTGCCTTTAGTGGTACTGCCTTTTTTTATCCAACGGAGCACCAAATAACTATAAGATCTGCTTATACTATGACATTTTTCACAACTCTATGAGTTACCTCTCCCTCAGCTATGGCCTTTTCAGTACAGGAAAATGGGAGTATCAGTTAGAGTTTCCCAATTCTGAGAAACAATCTGCACAAGACTTTTGGATACACTAGTTCTACTATGCCCTCAAATTGTATCCACCATTGAGAAACCACCACTGCAAAACTGCAATTTTTGCCTTACTGAACACTATTTCATATATTTAACACTGAGATGACATCCTGCAATTATGTTTCATTCAGCTAGGAGACAAGGGGAAAAAAAAACACCTAAAAGGAAAGCAAAAAACCAAGATGTCTTAAGCATGGTCATTTTTCTTCACAACAGACTGCTGCCACGACTAATAATTGAATACGTTTGAACAGTTACTTGCTCAAAGAATACTAATAATTTTAAATCATCATTAGAATTTGCCCAGATAGAGAAGCCTTAAGACTCATTGTGCTAGAAGAGAGAGAATGACCTTCCAAAGGCTTCTCAGGAGATAAGCCTAAAGAGTAAAATGATCAAGAGATAAACTGTGATGAGGTGGGAGATGTATTGATGAGCTGAACAGACCAGTTTGAGAACTTTCAGAAACTGCAAGTTCAGTTCTGAAACAGAATAGCAGACTGCCATGGGCATTCAGGAGAAACAGACCCCACTTAGTGTCAGGCACACAGTTTTTACAAAGGAAAAAAAAAAGAAAAGGAAAATACATAGTCTTCTCGAAAATGCAGTTTAATTTATTAGTTCTTAATTCCTGTAATCATAATGATTATTAATAAAAACCACTGGCAGTAGACAAGAGGACAGCAAAGAAACTGTTCTCCTTACTCAGGAGCAGATAGGAGGGAAAAAAGATTGTTACTTTTTTAAACTGGCAGTGGGATGTAGGTGACAAAGTGCTATAGCAAATAGGAGGCAGTTAAATATACTAAAGATGAGTAGGGTGAAACATAAAAGATTATAGAGATGTAAAATTAGAGTTCGTTGACAAAGATGTCAAATGAAAAGCTTTTAATTATTCAGGTCTTTCAAAAGAACCATCAAAATTTATAGGCACAATTCTTAAATTGTTTACAAATGCCAACTCTAAACCAGCAGGATTACCAAAGATGCTACCATCCTAGCAAACTGTCATTAAATCCTAATGTCCCTTTCCAAAGACATCCAGAGAAGTACACTGATCTTGCAGGTAGGCTTGAAAGTCCAAGTCAAATTCCAAGCAACCAAGAAGAAAAGCACTTTCTTGAAGCAAGTATGCTTCATTTACCGGTATATCAAATCACTCCTCTTCATAGTACAGAGATGTTGAACTGGACAACCACCTGTGTTTCTTACTCAAAATCGGATATATTACTTAACTGACAAATTAACAAAAAACCCCACAAGAAATGCATCAAAACTTACCTCTGGCTTTGGAACAAAGGCTTGACCTGGAATTATGAAACATTTTTCAACAGTGCAGAGATGCTGAGACATGATGGACAGCCTGCTACGTTGCTTACTTCCTGGATTAGCTGTAAGCCTCTATTGAAAAATAAAAACATGTAAATCAGTGAAACTGAATTGACCACGAGGTCAGTTACATTAAAACTTGATTTTCAGTATAATCAAAGGGAAAGTCAAATAAAAAAAATAACCCACACAATTAATTAAATACTCATTTCAAAGTTCATGCCCAGTTCATCTAGAATTTTCTTCTCTAATATAGCAGCCTTTCACTAAGCAGCCATGCTAATTTACAATCTCAGTCCTGCCATCAAGTGCACATGAAAAGGAGCTCCCTGAACTTAGAGCAGAACTTGGTGACTGTCACAAGAACTTTGGGCACATGAGAAAACTAAAATTACTCTGAGTGCAGGATTCAAAAAAAAGTATCACCAGCTGACACATCCTTTTACCAGCTCTCACATCCTTTACTTCCACTGTTTCTGTATCAAACACTACTATTTTTCTCCTTGAAGATGAAGCAAAGCTCTATAAACTCAGAATCAAATAGAAAACAAAATTTCTTCACTATGAACTGCTCTGTGCTTACAATCTATGCAAGAAAGCCAGATCTTTACATAAATGCTTTTAGTTAAGTGTTCTAAAGTTATTTAATACTTAAAGATCAATTTAGTAATTCTCTGATTTTCCCAATAAATTTCTTACAAACGTTATCAAAAGAGTAGCCTGGACAGAGGTTTTCTACACTTTCATGACCTGGCAAGGAACACGTTCTGTGTGTTTTGCTAGCACAAACATTTAAATAGTCAAAGCATCAGGTAAAACAAGTCTCAAATGGTAAAAGACATAATGCTAACTATGCAGAAACAGAATTCTAAAGATTCCTGTTCTTATTGACCCCTACATTAACAAAAAAAGGAACAAAAGAAGAAAACCAACTTCCATATCCGGTAACATTTCTGCATTATGTAGCTTCAGATGACAAGTCTATTAAATGCTACGGTGCTTATTAAAACTATCCCTGAAAAATAAAATTAGACCTATTGCTGAAGTTCTAAATTTAAAAAAAAACAACTTTGTGAAAGGCAGTTTAAGTATCAGCATGGAACAAATAAAATACTTTTCAATGACTTTCAGAAAGAAAGCTCAGTGATTCTTTTTGCCTACATCACCACTTAGAACTACCTTCATCATTGTTTCAGAGGAAATCCATTAGAAAAATAAATCTATTCACCACTGTTATTATTCTGTAGAGAAAAACTCAAACCAAATCAGGCTGCCGAGTCTAACAATGCAATCAGATAGGCACTTCCTTAACCTCTGCAGTGGAAATGAAACAGATGTAGTGACAAAGCTTGTAGTTCTTCCAATGCCAATTCAAACAAGCCAGTCTTCTCACAAAGAACAACCTAACAAGCCTCAGGCAGTTAGTTCCTGCTTCTCAGCTACAGAAGTGATAACTTCACAACATCCACCTCTGGGCACTAACATATTAAACCACTTCCAACCACATCAGCATGAACATACCTGTGTATGGCATTGCTCAAGTAAACGCAACAATGCTGAGATATCTTCACAGCTGAGAATATCCTCACAGAATAGAACCATAGAACAGTTTGGGTTGGAAGGGATCTTTAAAAGTCATCTAGCCCAACTCCCCTGTAGTGAGCAGGGACATCTTTAACTACATCAGATTGCTGAGAGCCCCTCCAACCTGACCTTCAATGTTTCCAGGGATGGAGCCATCACTTCTTTGAGCAACCTGTTTCAGTTCCTCATCGTCCTTACTGTGGAAAATTTCTTCCTTGTATCTAGTCTAAATGTACCCTCTTTTACTTTAAAATCATCACCCTTTATCCTACAGCAACAGGCCCTACTAAAAAGTTTGTCCCCATGTTTCTGTAACCTGACCTATTTTTGTAGGTTTTTACCCCTTAGTTATTAAAATTTTCATTGTTTCTACTTTTAAATTATGGATGGCATCAGAAACTGCACTAAGTAAATCATGCTGGAGTTCAGCTAACTAGGTAACTTCTTTGTACACTAGTACAATTTAGGAAGGTGTGAGGCAAAATAAAGGTTCTGAAGCCTAACGTGGAATAGAATCAAGCTGGTACCTGAAATCTCTTCTATTGCTGCTCATTATCAACCACTCTCAAGGAGTACCTCAGGAACAACTATTTGGTTTGTTTTTCAGTAAGCTACATCATAGAACTGTGCTCTTCATAAACACGTATTAAAACCCCACTATCAACGAATCTGCAAAATCTGTCACAGGAATTAATCGACATGAAGAAGACCAAATTTTAGTACACAAGTTGCTTTCTGCAAAATAACTTTTTTTTTTTTGCAACATAAGTATTTATATTTAACCTATATCAGTTATGCAAACATAATGGTAATTTTTCTTCTGTTTGTTGCCCAAAACTCTGAATTATTTTCCACTTTATTAGCACCTTTTGCCTAGTATTCTAAATAGACAGCAGTGTTAGATACAAAATGATTCAATATTCTGCTCTTCTAACATGCCTGTCTTCTATACATCTATCTATCAGTTTAGCACCCCGTCTCTCAACCTACAGATCATGGTGGCAGAGCAGCTCAGGCTAACGACTCTGCCAAGTTTTTTTCAAAATCAGAGGCTGAGAAAGATCTGTTTAAACTGAAACATGACTCACTTTAATGGAAGTGGGCCAGGAAGTAGCCAGCCCAGGAGGCAGATTTGAGGTGAAGCACTGAGGAATTTGGGGCAAGGTAACAGTTCTTATCCACAAAATATTCTTATCCACAATTTTATGGATTTAAACTAGAGAGACAAAATTATCTTCTCAACACATAAAAGTGCCATTTTTACTGCTGTGGATATCTCATCCTCCTTAATAGGCTTCAGAATTCAGTATACAACAGAAATGCTGGTTCCCATCAGCAGTTTTGATCTAATCCCATCAGAACAGATACCTTCTTGAGCTAAAAGGAAACAGAAAAGCAGGAAACTACCACCAGCAAGGAAGGCAAGGTATTTTGTACCTGTTATACTAGCAAAGCCAAGCATGACCACAAATAATACAGCATATTGCTTTACTTTCTTGCTGTTAACATCAAGTTATCCGAACTAATTACAAAGCATGTGGCTCCATTCCATGACAGCATCTTACCACTCTTCTGAGCTTATGGGACACACACTGAGACTTTCTTTGGTATTTAGGCACTTAGAAACACCCAGTGAGGACATCAAACATCTGAATCTAAGATATTTTCTTTTCAATAATGTAAGTCTACAGATAAGGTGCTACTAATATTTCATGTATTATCTGTATTTGACTGGGTTTTATTTCTTGGTACTGAACATGCCTACATATGCTAAATTACAATGGTTAACTTAAGCAGCTCCAGAAGGCCAGAAAAAAAAAGACACATATTCTGATTATCATCCCTTCCTCTGATTATAAAACAAAATAGCATATCTAAACTGAGTTCTTCATGATGTCAATCAATTATGGAAACATGAACCAGAAACTATGAACAATTTTGTCTTCAGTGGAAGTTCTGTGGTTAAATAGGTGCAAGAACAAGAATCAAGAGATCCCAGAATGTAAACTCAACAACAGTTAACACTGATTCATTGCATGACCTTGAACAACATATTCAATTTCCTAGTGTTTCTAACTTCTCAGTGTTCTAAGTACTTACGTGTGTATGGTATTTTGCATCTCATTGAGCTACGCAGGGTGAAGAAGCACTATAATCTGCATGTCACCACTGGCATATGCAGCTGGTTGCAGCTATATAAAGTACAGAGTGCATTTACACTCTCCCTCAGTGTTAGGCCACTTTTTTTTTAACTGTACTCACAAAATTTTGCATCTTACCCATCATTACATTGCATTTTACATCGTAGTCCATTGGCCATATTTTGCAACAAGATCTAATCTCAAATGACACGAAGTCCTTCTGGGAAACAGATCTGGATTTTTTAATGCCTGAAACCACATTAGCTCAGAACTGAATTCTAGTTTTTTGCCTACCAAATGTTGGTCCCTGGTGTTCTCTAGAGCCACCTACTGGAAATACTTCTGTACTTGTCTTGAATCTTGAATGCAGGGCTAGAGTAATAACAGCTCAATATGGTTTTCTACGGCCCCAAAAAATGACAACAGGTATGCCACTTGCACATATAATTATTACTAATTTACATATCAAAAAAACCCTACATCAAAATAGATGAGAAGCTCAACATGAGCCGGCAGTGCGCTCATGCAGCCCAGAAGGCCAACCGCATCCTGGGATGTATCAAGAGAAGCGTGGTCAGCAGGTCAAGAGAGGTGATTCTCCCCCTTTACTCTGCTCTTGTGAGACCCCACCTCTAATACTGCGTCCAGTTTTGGTGCCCCCACCATAAGAGGGACATGGATCTGTTGGAGCATGTTCAGAGGAGGGCCACAAGGATGATCCAGGGGCTGGAGCACCTCTGCTACGAGGACAGGCTGCAGGAGCTGGGATTGTTCAGTCTGGAAAAGAGAAGACTTCGGGGGGACCTAACAGCTGCCTTCCAATACCTGAAGGGAGCCTGTGGGAAGGCTGGGGAGGGACTTTTTACAAAAGTGTCCACTGATAGGACAAGGGGAAATGGGTTTAAATTGAAGGAGAATAGATTTAGACTAGACCTTAGGAAGAAATTCTTCAGTTCAAGGGCGGCAAGACTTTGGAATGAATTGCCCAGAGACGTTGTGGCTGCCCCCTCCCTGGGGGTGTTCAAGGCCAGGTTGGACAGAGCCTTGAGTAACCTGATCTACTTGAGAGGTGTCCCTGCTCATGACAGGGAGGTTGGACTAGATGATCTCTAAGGTCCCTTCCAGCCTAGGCCATTCTATGACTCTATGAAAATTATCCTATTATAATTTTTACTTTGAAAGAGTAAAATTAGAAAAATGTACATTAAGTTGCACATATAAAACGGGATTATCTTCAAAAAACTGGAGTGTTTCCATTTGATGGAAATTCAGTTTTCTGACAGACATAAAACTCCTTTTTCTTTGTTTTTAAAAAGCAAGTGAGATGCTTCTAAGAAGCTATACTGCGATGCTGGTAAGAAGCCATACTGCATTCATGAACAGAAAGCATAAAGTCTTCCAGCCTCTATGTTACATTTCATACAATGACAACAGAAACTTTCAAGTCTGGAAACATTGTGGATTAAGTCAACCTGATCTAGAATTAACACTACTACATAGCACACCACTTCAGCATTCTTTAAGACTCTAATTATTGAGACAAAGTAAAATCTTAATTTGCTCTTGGACTTGCTGTGATAGAAATCAAATGATGCCTTTCTACATGCACAAGACTGGAAACAGTCCATTAATTAAGCCAGTCAGTTGCCATGGTCATGAAAAACATACTCTAGTTTTAACTTTAATCACAATTGGAAATAATACTAACCTTCCATTTTTCCTTATTAATAAAAGGAAAATGTCTGTTTTAAAAAAAGTATTTTTAATTAAGATGGCAAAGGAAATAATTATGAGTTTACTCCTCCAAAGGTAAGGAAAACCAGACAGATGAAAAAGTGCATGAACGACTGTGAGAGATATTTAAAACCAGAAGAGTTGTGTGCAATCTATTCATGTTGAAGAAATCAGACTTCAGAAAAGATCAGATTAAATAACTCACGGAAATGCATTGCTCTCTAACAAATTTTTTAAAAATAGTAGTTATGTGCTCTGAAAGGACCAGAACAGATGATAAACTCAGCATTAAAATGCATCATTTATAGGCACAGTAACTAAAAATTGAACCAAGTCTTTCCTCTCTTTAAAGCCAACCAAGATTGGTTTTGTACTTGTAAACAAAAAGTTGCATGTAAACATATTTTTGTTCAACTTAGCATCTGTAAAATTTTGGGAAAACACTAACATCTTACCTCTGCAACTTCCTTCTGAAAAGTCAGCGTCATCTGTGTCCTGCCATAAATAAAAGGTCCATCTTTTTTGGAAACATTTTCAAGCCATTTGATGATTAGAGGCGTTGAAACACTGAAGGGCAGATTCCCAATGATATGTATGTCTGGTGGCTCTGTCAACATTTGATGGAAAAAAAGCAAATGTAAGAAAGTTTTGGATAAAGTTTTGCCATGAAAGAACACTTAAGTTAGAAAGATAAGTGCATATCAATCTAGATTTAAAAAAATGAAAACGTTTTTTACCATGCCACACCAAGATTATGCCTTTTCATTTATACTTGTCTTACACTGACAAAACTTGTGTTACTATTCTCAGTAATTAGTTGGAAAAAAAAGTGGTTAGGCTTGGTTCTCATTTACATTTGAATAAATCGGTAGCTTTCAACTGATTTTCAGCTGTCAGTAGATTTCAGGTGTGCTACTCCAGAACAGCAAACCTGTAACAACGGCAAAACTACAATGGTGTTTCCATGATTTTATACTATGACTATTAGGTACAAAGCAAATAGCCACACTTGTCCCTTCTGTCCAACGTGTTCCTCCCAGGAGCATCTTAGTGTCCATAACCCCCAGACAACCCTCTAGCTCAAGCTGCACCAAGCTCTCCTCTTTAGAGTCCTCTGAAATCAAAAGGTCTCAGAGCAAGCCCAAGACTTAGCCATAAGAAGTGACAGGCACTGTTCAATTATTAAATCAGTAATTATTAAATCAGATATATATGTGTTGTACTACACAAAGCAGGCATTTCATTAGTGGGGATCCTTATGTCTAAGCAGGAGTGCAATAAAGGCGGACAAAAGGAAGCGCGCTGTTTCTTAGACACAATTGCATTTAATAACACGAATAAAGTATGATAATATCAAATTCAAGCTGGTTTTCTGGTACACTTAGTATGCACTTTTTAGGCTGTGATATTTCTAGCATATTTGGACATATATAAAAAAATTGCTAAGGATATTTCTGAAACCCACCAGTCTTTCAGATGTCATATGGAAATAATAGAAATATCATATCTTGCTAATTAGTTAGCTAATTATATCTTGCTAATTAGTTAACTCCAAAGACAACGACTTACATGTATGTTCAAGAATGGTAATTTTTTTTAAAAACTGCACTACACTTTCATACATACATTTGCTCAGTCTTTTTTTGTGAAGCACTTAACCTCTTGCACTGAGGCAAATACAGCATGGAATTTTTCAAGGTGAACACACATCGCATGATCTCTTATGTTCTAAGGCAGAAAGCAGTTTACTGTTCTTCAGACACTGCAGAGACTGACACTACCTTATATTAAGAAATTTGGAAGACAGACCTGGGAGGTCATCTCTGATTTATCTAATAATACTACATGTGTTTTACATGTTTTAAAAGGGAGGTGAAACAGACTGCTATGAGAACCTCAGATTTGGACAAAAAAAAAATCCACAAACACAAATCTCTGATTTGATTCTACTTTTGCCAAAGATAGCCAGCTGAAACTAAAGCAGATAGACAACTAAATTTTTGAGGAAAAATATCTAAAATTTCAAAGCATGTTACAGAATGGAATAACAGCAGTGGTGCCTTCTGGCTTCTCCAAGAAGAGGAAGAAAGTGGGAAGAAAGTATACCATTTGACTTCCTTTTATACTTTCCAAGAGTCATTATTGTACAGTCAAGACACTCTAAGGTTAATAACTGCAAAGCTCCTCACTGTTGACTAAGGTGCATGTCACACAAATTCCACACTGCTTTGTCTTAGAAGGGGAAGATGATTTTCTGTTTCCTCCTAGAAAGGAAGTTAACTTCCCTCTCTTCCTACCTTCAAATTGTACCAGAAGAGAGTAACACCTGCACTGAGTGAACTCCTAACTCTGTCACCACACTCAGCACCCTTAAAAATGAAATGAACGAAATACAAATACTAACCATCCTCCCAGTTCTTTTTTAAGTGCTTTGGAAAAGCCTTCTCCATCTTATATGTTAGGACATCTCCATGAACAATACGCACTTTTCCTGGAGCTGCTTCAGATAACATCTGTTCGTAATGAAGTAAGCAGAATTCACAGTGAGTATTAACCAAACTGATTTCTCGTTTCAGCTACAGCAGCAATTAAACCATTGCTACCTATCTTCAATATAAAGAAGCACACCACCAGTTAAAACTGAACACAGTTAGCAAAAACTCACTTTCAAAAAGCAAGCACTAACAAAAACAGTGAATTGTGTGATACTGTGAATGCTTACTATTCACAGCTGTACAATTCTTCATAGGGAATTTAAGCTTGAAAAGACTGCTAAGAGTTTCCTCAGCAAGGACAACTAACAAACCCCAGGCCACTGACAGAACCCCATCTGATTTAAGTAATAATGTAAGCAGCAGGCTTTGAGAAGTTTTTAGATTTATCACCTATGCAAACGTGGCTTATTTTGTTTATTCTGTCTCCCCCACAGGTGTAGGATCTACTATCCAATTTTAGGCACGCATTATACAAGGCTGCATAAATATTAATTTTTTCTTTTACAGATATTTTTAGATATTACAAAACCCACTCTGCTGTCAACTTCTCTATCCCACTTCTTCAGCTTATCTAGTGTTTGATAAAGGCTGAAATGCAAACTCAGAACCAGCTGTGGCTTGGTAATCATTTCTTCCATTTCTGGTGTCAGTTTACACAATCAAAACTAGGTGTTTTTTTATTGTTGTACTAATCTTCTTTCTTGCAGTATGAAACTATGCACAAACAGCACAATTAGAAGGCAAAGTCAACTTTTACAAAGATTACATTCGGGGATATTTACTGTTCCTAACTTAGGATAACAAAAAATGGCTTAAAGAACAATTTTGCTTTTGCACAGAAATCCAGATCCTTAAACAGTTAAGTACTAGTGGCTTAACTGCCAAAACAAACTTCTCATCACTGTTAGTTCCACCTTCAACCTGAATGGTGTATATAGGCTCAGGGGCACAAACAGCTTTCACGGGTCTCTGAGCCTAAAGGGAAGTGCTGCTTCCTCGTATTGCTGTTTGCATTAATTTTTTTTGGAGTGAAAGAGGTTTTTTACCATCAAAACAGCTAAATTGTGTAGAGCACTAAAAAAAGCTTAACTAAAACCTAAGTATTCCTACACGTTTCAAGTGCAATTATGTCCAAATAGAAAAAATAAACCTAACCTCAACTCCAAACCACTTAACAGAATTTTCAGCGTTACACTAGCACTTATATGGCATACATATTCACTAATCTGCCATGATTTGTCAAATCTTTCTTTGAAGCTGTTATAAATGCTTTAAAAAAAAAAAAAGTAAGATCAATAAAGTTAGAAAACAGCATAAGAGGAAGCAGATAGCTGCCTACACGATAATGGATTAATACATGTTATATTTTTTTTCAATAATGGTTTTCATATCAAGAGGAGTTTGGGTTTTTTTGAGCATCACAACGTAAATGAGAACTGCATTTAATTTGTGAGCTGAAAATCACAGTTGTATAGTTCCAGTTTGAAATAGACTCAGAAACCCGCTGAAACTTTCTCCATTCTATGGCCAATTTGTGCAACTAACACCGTTCCAGGAGTTCTTGTGCACCAAGCACATGAGCCAACTGATTCTCCATCATACAGACCCTCTTGTTCTTCACACACCACCAAAAGGGCACAAAGAAAATATAACGGACATCATTTAAAAGACAAGGTGGTGTTCCTGGAAGAATTCTGTATTCAATCCACACTTTGGCTAAAAGTACCCTTTATTCCTTCATAATTTTTTTCAGCCTAACAACTATTAGGGCATATGGCACAGGAAGGCTGTGATTCTTTATGCGTGAGGCAGGACAGTCTATCAGTTGGTACAGGCTTGTACTCTGTGCACGTATGTTCTTCACTATATTTCACTTTTGCTGTAAAAAGGATCCCAACTTCAGTTTTGTGATAGAAACCACAGCTTGTAAAACAGTTAATGAAAACCGCTGAATGCTTTACATAAGTGATTTTGTAAATAGCTAAAAAGGCATTTTTAATTTTCTTGAATTGTTGCTTTAATCTCTGACATTTTCTGTTATTCAAATATCAACCCTTTTAGGAGCATTTGGTTTTGACAGAGCTTTTAACGGGAAATCAGACAAAACCAGGTATTATGACCCAAATTATCACAAAAGAAAGATTCATTTTGTTATATACCATCTTATTTGGAAGGAACAACACCAAATTTAACACTAATGGATGCAACATATTTCTTGCTCATTCACATCCACAGTTACCAAGTTATAGCATCTTTATCTTCAATAACCTCACTGAGACATATTTATTTCTACTGTGAGGAGGATGATAATTAAAAATAAAGGCTAATGTTAACTTACTTGAACAGTCAAGATGATTACATACTTAAAGCTCACTACAGACACTGAAAAGTACACTTTTATTCAGAGAAATCTTTTGTACTGGCTGCTTTTTGGAAGATCAGAAAAAAATGTCTAAGTCCTTAAAATATTCTGTTCACTGAAGCAAGTATCATTTCATCTCAAATTCTCTCCAATCTCAAACCAGTTCTTAAGACCTAAAACAAAAACGCAGATTTGTCCCCACTCAAGAAAAGTGAAAACATGCAGTTTTCATATCTCTAAAGGTAAAGATGTCATACTGTAAATTATCAATGGCTAACCCTACAAGACATAGTTACATGCATTATCTGATTTAAGGGTACGAGCAGTTTCATTCATATCTTAGATTGCTTTTGCCCTAGAAAGACAGTAATAGTTCTTAAGTGAACCACCTATTTGTTTTCATTGCTGACTTACAACAGAAGACACAGTAAAATACAAAATATCCGTAATCTGAGATTGTAGAGGCCCAATAAGAATCACAACTGTAGAGATTCTGGGCTCCGTTTTTCTGGCTGTAATCACAGAAATTTAACAGCAATAAACTTAGATGGCATTTGAAAAATGTCACAATGACTTGTGAACTTCTACCAACTTTAAAAGAAACCAACAAAAGTTTAAGAGTTGTGGGGGTTTTTTAAATGCAAAATAAATGTTTGCTTTATTGTTCTGTATCTGGACATTTATGAACATTAAATTTTATTAACTGGAGATAGGTTTTTACAATTTTATACACTTTAAAGCATAATTATTGGGATTAAAATGGGGGAAAAAAAAGGACCTCGCAATATTACACTCAGTCGTCAAACTACTACTTCACCTTCAATGTGAAATGCACCCAAAATGTCTCAACCTGAAAACAAACTAGCCACGCCTTAGCATTAATTCAGTTGCAAGATCAGGTCCTGAAGGGCCTATAAGAAAGCAGGGGCAATTCACTGCTATACTGTATATTTTCACCTTCAAGAAAATTATAGTTCTGACTTAAAGCCAAGAAGCAAATCTATTTTCAATGCCAAGATCTCAACAAGACACCTGGAACCTTTCTATGTTCTCAAAATGTTCTGATTCAGAAATGTAGAGACATTTATACAAACTATTCTCCAGTTGGTACCTGCAATCCTGGAATAAATCGAGGATCTTTTTCAATCAAAAGAAGCTGTTCAACGCCAGCACTGAGAATGGATCTGGTAATTCCTCCTGGCCCAGGGCCTACTTCGCAAACATGGGCATTTTTCAGCTCGCCAGCCTGTTTCACTATCTTGTCTGCAAAACACAAAGAACACACTATGCCTTTGTTCTCCAGAAGATCCAGCTCACTGAGATAAACTCAGTGTTTATTGTTAAAGCACAAGTGTGCTTATCTCAGAACAGACACAAAGACTAACACATTCCAGTTAAATGATCACACACCTGCTAGACTGTACAGAATTCAGATTTGTTTCACACTACAAGATATGCTCAACCATTTAAAAAGGACTATTTTCAGTTTCATATCTTCAGTATACATTGCTGCTCACTACAGAATCAAATACAATAAAAAGAGAATATTTCTTCTCATCGGTAAACTAGCAGTGCTAATCTCCTGCAAGTAAACAGTGACGTTCAATGTCCTGAAGTCTCACAGTATTTCACTACAGTACTCTGTTTCAAGGAAATTGAACAAATAAAAAAAGATACAGTGAAGGCTTACCAAGATTACAGTATGGATAGAGCAATTTTATGATGGAAAAGCTGAAGTAAGAGTTGGAATATAGGCAACTGGTAGTTATATAAAGCGAGGCAGTTGAAAGGTGAGGAAAGAATACCTGTACCTAACTGGAAGGATACAACACTGAAAAGTATTACAGCCAGGAAAGATATCAGATTAAGCATTAAAATAAGGATTTACAAAGTACTTAATGAAACAAAGGGATCCTTAGGAATCGTTAAAAAAGGACACTGAGAGATGTTATGCTGCTCACTCCCCAACTTCTTAAAGTATGCAATAAAAATAAGAAATATCTGAACACTTGCCTACTTGTAAGGATTTAATAAATGCATGCAGACATTTTTATTCCAGACTAAGAGCCCATCTATTGAGGAAGCGGAATGGATTTTCATGTTCATATCCTAAATCTTTATCAACCTGAATCTTCAAATGCAATCAAATTGTCAGCTACATGAAGACGCACTGCATTTATTACTGCAAAACCCAGCCATCATTGGGACAGTAAAGAAACTCACCACTGACTGAACAGTGTCAGCTTTGTCATCCATTGTTGACATGAAGGTGGATAAAACTGAATTCTTCAGAACAATTCAACTGGTTCCAAAAAGCTACAACATTTCTGATAAACTGAGACAAATGACATTCCTAATCACAGCATATAGCAAATTAAACTGCACAATGAGTGACTGTACTAATTTAGATGATACATAACAATCTCAAAAAATACTCGTTTTTGAATCACATTTATAAGCTGTAATGGTACCTAAATGGTATAACTACTGCCAAGGCTTGGATTTTTGCATTTTAATTAATAACGTCTATTTTATATAGGAATATAGTTTCTACCTAAAAATTTATAAAGAAACACATGTTCTAGGAATTTACAAGTAAAATAATTTTTCTAAGCTAAAACTACTTTTAGAAAAAATCTTTAAAGTTCTATCACTAAGCTGCCATTAATTTAACAGACATAATCACGAAAACATCTTCTCCTGAGACAGAATTTGGATTCTGAAGAAAACATGTTTTAGAGTTGCTAAAAAAATTAAAATATTTAACCTGTCAATCGTAAATCCAGTAGAAAGTTCTGTGAAAGTTGTTTCTGTGCTTTAAGGCGGAAAAGTTTAATAATCTCTCCAACGGTTGGCAGCGGAGGCAGACGGAAAGCTGCCACCTTTCCTGGAACTGCCATAAGACAAAACTTCTGTTCCTTCCTCCTATGGAGACATTGAAAACATGATTCTAGCATATGCAATAAATTACAATACACTTAAGAGCAGAAAAGCTACTAAGTTTACAAACCAACAAATTATTTATGCATCATTAAACATGTGCTAATCATGTTAACATCAGTATTCTGACTACTGTAGGCAGCATTTACATTTAGCATTTATCTGAGGGACTGGGGCAAGTCTCTTTTTGTAGCTTTGCCAAAACATCACATGAAACAAAACTCCCTCACAGCTGCTCAGTGTCAGTCTTTCACTACTTGAGAAAAGAATCATTAAGGATAATCTGCCTGAACTCATGGCATCCTATAGACAAAATATATTTAAAGTGTCCCTGGAGAAGAATTAAAAGATTATTTCATTACTGAATCATCTGTTTTTCTAAGGAGAGGTAAAAATACAAAGCCAAAGTGTAAACAACAGCGTTAGCTAGTTTAGAAAAGAATTGTTTTCAAGTTCAACACGACGGGACATGATGTTTCGCCTCTCTGGCCCCAGCCTCGCCACT